AAACGAAAGTAAGAGGAAAACAAAGGAAAGTAACTGACGATACACAGGCTCGGGAAGCAGCGCGTTTCCCGCACGCGGCAAGCCGCGTGTACGACGTCGCGCGGTGACTGCCCACAGGCCTAATCCTTAGCTCTTGCTTTACAGCCAAACCCCGAAATGAATTCGATCCTACTGAATGGTTGTTCTTATACTGGTAGGAAAGTGGTATCACAATCACGATATCTTTCGCCTCTAGTCGACCATTTTGCGGACGGACAGACAGACGTGCAAACACACACAAACAAACCGACACACCAAACTTCTGGTTTATATAATGAAGTGATTCTACGATACCGATGGGAAGTGCAATGCGTGGCACATTCTTTAGGAGATGTTGCAATGTTTTTTTTTGCTTCTAGGCTTAAAAGCATCAACCTATCTAGTGATATAGAAACAACATGCTATCGTAGAAATGGGGGAGCTTTTCTCGATCCCGCTGAATATTTTCTTGAAAAAATTTTCCGAGCTGGTAATTTAAATCGAATCCGGCCATGCTGGTTATTAAAATCGAATCAGTCGGTTATACTAACAAAGGGGTCCTTTTAGTGAAATCATGCTTTTGTAAAACGGTTTCTTACATGTTGTAGGGCCATATGTGTGAACCACAAGATCCATGTTTCATTTCCGCCGAACCGTTTTAGTAGTGGTGTAAATAGGTGGTAAATAAATAAATAAGTAAAAGAGGTGTAAATAAATAAATAAGTGAAAATTTTGATTAGGTAATCAAACCGTCCAGCTAATTACGAACAAGTCATAGGTGTGTGGCGGAAGCAGTAAGAACGTCTTGAACTACTTAATATAATTACTCATGGCGCAAAGTACTGATAGTCTTCGCAGAGAACTCACATTTGCCAGGCGCGCCCACTTGGTGCGATCGCGAACGCCTTCTCGTCAGGGGTCGGTCTGACTTACTACAACTGGGATGTGAATGGAATACCGTACTATGCAGTGAACGAAGAAGGTTCAATCGGAAACGGGCATACCGGCAAGGTTCGTCAGCCGTCAGTTGCCAGAGCCATCGACACAACGTGTACTTTTATTCCAGGTCGATTTCGGCTCATGGGGAGGAGGCTATTCGAGCAATGTGGGTGTGCGCGACTATTTCTCACAGACTCAAGAATATGGAGCAAACTGGTATGAGGGTAGGTGAAGTGCGATGATCCCATCTGACAACTTAAGCCAAAAATATTTTTTCAGGATTATACGGGTACAAGACTGGATGGAGTATTCCAGTTGTTCAAAGCGTGGGAGTTGAAGGAGGCGGTGGAACTCAGGTTTATTTCCTTTTCTCTTGATGGTCCTCCATTTCAATCACTCAAGTTTTGCCTAGAGAACTAACAGACAGGAACTCTGATGTTCCTCGTGAGGATTGAACGGTTTCAGGTACACGTTCCACTGAAAGAAG